TTAGAATACAAAACTGCCGATTTTCCTGCACTATGAGACTGAGCTGTGTTTGGCTTGTCATGTACACGTCACGTTTCTTAGTATGGTGCCTGCCTGCATTGTATTTGGGTGTGCACGGTTGGCAATGTGCTTGGAGCTTTCACCTTCCAAACTTGAGGTTCTGTGTTCAATTCCCAGTTTGCGCAAAGAATGCTTTCCTTGGATTGGATTGGATTGGTTTATTTAACGTCGAATAACAAACAGGCAGTGTTGCCTTATACATGAGATCGACTGAAGACAAACAGGCACACAAATGTAAGGAAAAGATTAAAAAGAAAAAAAAAAGATAATAGAAAAAAAGAGTAGGATTTAAGACAGCAGCTAGCTAGCAAAGGAAAGATTGCATAATTATTTGATCAGTGAGCAACGTAAGTCGGTGAATTTTTCAGGTGGGGTAAAAGAGCGGTCCGGAATTGACCTGGTTTCTTCAGTGATCGTATAGATGCAGGCAACTTATTCCAGAGAGCGGGACATTGATATGAAGGGCTGCGTGTGGCAGCGGCAGATATGATCCTCGGGAAAAGAAGCAGGGGAACATCTGTGCTCCTCGTTCGACGGGTGTGTGACAGAGGTGTGACAAGGTCATGAAGAAGCACACTACAGTTATTATGAATTACACGAAAGGTTAGCAGGAGGAGTTTGCGGCAATACATTGATTGCAGGGGTTGAATGCTGAGGCGTTCAAAAAGAGGGGCAGTTGGAGACAGGAACGGAGCAGAGCAGACAACACGCACAGCTCGCTTGAGAAGTTTCTCAAGACGATCACGTTGTGCAGAGGAAAGGGAAGAGGAAAAGCTGTTGCATGCGTATTGGAATGTGGGTAAAATTATACATCTCAAGTAGGTTGAGCGGCATGGCATTGGGAGGCACTGCCTGTGTCCTTCCGTTTGAGACCTATCTGAGAATGGGTGCCTGGCTTCAGTTGAGGATGCAGTGGTGATGGGTAGAGGTGATGAGCACTGCCCTCGCAATGTTGAGCCCAATGAAACCGGAGCTCTCTATACCTCCTCTCCCAACGATCAGAATTAACTACAGTCAACTTCGCTTTTAACGACACTCGGCCGGGCATCAGAAAAGTGTCCTTATTTGTGAAGTGTCGTTATACCGAAGTTTCATTATATGTATTACAGTTGGATGGGAATTTGCTTTGGGCATGGAAATTCTGTCGTTATTCGTAAATTGTCGTTATATCCGCAGTCGTTATTAGCGAAGTCGGCTGTGCTAGTATTAGGTACAACTACTCAGATGGTGAGCCAAGGAAAATATTAAATTGGAACAAGGTAAACAGTGGGGCACAAGTTCTGCGTTAGAGTCCACCAACTAAACCAGGTTTTGAACAGTCAGACGTGCACAATTTCAGTTGGTTTAGTTGGTAGACTTGTACACATATTAACTTGTGCCCCACAGTTTCCCTTGTTCCAATTTAGTGTTGGCTACTTTTACCTTTAAAATTACCTGAATGGGTGGTGCATATTTCATATTATTGCTAAACACCCCCCCCCCCCCCCAACCCCAAACCAATGGATTCTCTCTTTGTTTTGCATTTCAGATTTTGATGAATGCGGCAGTGATCCCTGTCAGAATGATGCTACATGCACTGACATGGTCAACGGGTTTGACTGCACCTGTGCACCTGGATTTACTGGTGTCAATTGTGAAACTGGTGAGTTCCATTTCATGTGATTGAATCATAGTCGCTCTGTTTCGTGGTGTTCTGAGCCTGTTGTAACCCTAGGCTCCTCTGGTATTGGGCAATAGAGCTGAAACCCTCTGTGGACTGCTAACCGGTGCTCAGCGGTAGTGTTCTTCTGACGCACCGTAAATACTGACGTTTGTGTATTCGTTTAAAAAAAGAAAAGAGTACCAAGAGGAGGTACAAGTTACGCTATAATATCCACTAACACCACCAGTTACATTACAATCAGCTCATACGATAGTATTGCCAGTTAGGTGTAGAACGTCAGTACCGTTGGTCAGTGCCGTGCAATGTTATCGCATGAGCTAATTGTAAAGTAACTGGTGGTGTTAGTGGATATTATAGCGTAACTTGTAGCTCTTTGGTCCTCTTTTCTTCTTATAAATTAATCCTTGGCTTTCCACCAGAGTCTAGTTATGTACACCTATTTGTGTATTCTTTAGTCTTGGAATGGGTTTCATAATCATAGACCTCCTCCAACACTAGACACGAGAATGCGTTGAGCAAAACCTGAATTCCTTACAGTACTACTAAGTCCCATTGTATTGAAATATTGAAATAACTCCAACCTTCCAACCTATAGTGTCTATTCCCATCACCTTTTGGTCTTTGCAGCAATATTGATCTGTTTTGCATGCTCACATGAATGCTTCTTGTCTCTTTGATACAATGCAGTTATAACTCGGTAAACGAATCTCTTCTCACGTGGTATCATCTCTGTGTGTGTGTGTGTGTGTGTGTGTGTGTGTGTGTGTGTGTGTGTGTGTGTGTGTGCATGTTTTGTTTGTGCTTGTGTACTTGCATGCCCCCCCCCCCCAAAAAAACCCCCCTGAGCAGATATCAATGAGTGTGCCAGTGGCCCATGTCAGAACGACGGGACGTGCAACGACCTTGTCAACGCCTTCCAGTGTGACTGTCTGGCCGGGTTCACCAGTGTGATGTGTGAAACAGGTGAGTGATGAGTCTGATTTGCATTGCGCAGTATAGTATTTCAGGGCGAGCCGGAGAAGTGTTTGATTGGTCCCACCATACCCTAGCCTTTCATACATTGTCACGGTAGGATATGACGAGTAGGCATGGCCACCTCAGCAGTAAACACACGCTGGTGGTCAACAAATTGGTTCCGCCATAACCTGACCAATTTTTGGACCAGTCCCGCCAGGCCTGTACCACCAATGAAACTATGGGAGTAAAACGTTTTTAGAGAAGCAATCATGGCCTGGTGCTGATTTATTCAGCACCATTGTTGCGAGAGTATCCCGGAATGCCAGGATAAACGAGATTATGAGTGTATTACTTTTAAGAACTCAGATGGTGAGCCAAGGAAAACATTTGTAACATGGAAATTGAAAATTGTGGGTTGGTGGACTCGATCGCATAACTTGCGCCCACAATTTCTGTGTCTTTCCCTCAAACTAGTGAACATTTCTGTATTCCATTTACCTTTTCCTTCTTTTTACAGACATTAACGAATGCGGCAGTAACCCATGTGCGAGCAGTGCTACGTGCAATGACATGGTCAACGGATTTGACTGCACGTGTGCACCAGGCTTCACCAACACACTCTGTGATGTGGATATAAATGAATGCATGAGTGAGCCGTGTGAGAATGGAGCAACTTGCAATGACCTGATCAATGCATTCACTTGTACTTGTGAAGCTGGGTTTACTGGAGTACGCTGTGAAACAGGTAAGGATTTTTCAAATAAATTCAGACTCTCATTTCAATTTTTGTGTCCCATCTTGGCTGCCTTTAAAAGGCCAGAATGAGTTGTCATGGCACTCTGGATGTTATGTGCACGTGCTGGTGTGTGTGTGTGTGTGTGTGTGTGTGTGTGTGTGTGTGTGTGTGTGAGTGTGTGTGTTTTTGCTCCGTGATGAGCTGATCCGTGTGCCGAGTGGATGTACAGTGTGAGAGACTACACACGTCTTTGCAATGCTGTTCTATGGTTCGGGTGTGCAAGATGTAAGCTAGCCGGGAACGGCAGTGCAATCATACCATTACCATTATTATGTTTTAAGAACTCAGATGGTGAGCCAAGGAAAACATTGTAACATGGAAAAATGTGGGCACAAGACTTAGTTATGCGATCGAGTCCACCAACTAAACCAGACTTTGAATACCCACGAACCTTACAAGTTGGAAGGCCGTTGGTTTAGCGCTATCGAGCAGTGCTCAAGCTGACTTTCATGCCGCAGAATATCTCGGTACTCGTTGTCAGTTTTGTGCTAGATTGTGCACGTCGTACTGTTCAAAATCTGGTT